TCCAAATTACAACCACCATTACATCATAGCAAACATCTACTTATTTATTGCCTTCCAAACATACATAAGGAAAAAAAAGTCAGTTGCTGTGAATGATTATATCATGCACTGAGTAGCTTCTTGGCTGACATTTTAAAGCCATTTTTGATCAAAATTATATCATGAAAGGAACTCGGTCCACTTTATGAAACTAATTGAAGAGGTTCTCAGCTCATTATCAGTGAGGATGAGTTTTAATGTGATTATCATCTTTAATAAGAAGTTTTATAAATCTTCCATGAGAAACTTAAAAACAGTACAGGATTCATACTGGCATTTCCATTAACCTTCATAATAGAGACATTAATATTTTCTGTAAGGATGATATATTTCTGGTTTGGACCTGATATTTATTGTCAAGAAAACTTTGCTATTGGCACTATGACACTATGAAAATCTATCACAGAAAAACAAAAGAATATAAAAAAATATTTAGAATAGTCTAGGCTCATACATATACATATTTATAAATGACAACAAATAATTCTTAAAGTCTCTCTCTCTCCCTCACACACATAATAACATTAGTGGAGATGTTGATGATAACAAGGAGTAATATACTAAATAAATAAAGAATATGCAGTGGGTAAAATAATCTAGGTTTGGCAAATATTCAAGCCTGGAAGATTTTTTAAGTTTCCAAATATCCAGTTGGATGAAAAAAAAATCTATATAATAAAGGATCTTGGTTAAGAAAGAGGTTTATAAATATAACCTTAAAAAAGATGATGTTATCCAACATGGCAGGATGAAAGAAATCATTAAAAAATAATAATATCACTGAATCTTTGTTATGAAGTGGGAACCAAACTCTTGAAAAAAAGATTGATATAGTCTTCTGACCTTGTAGATAAGAAGAGACAGGGAAACAAGAAAGCCATGAAGCTTTTCACCATGTTTTGCATTCATTGTATCTGTGTAGCCAGAGACCATAGATCCACTGAATTAGTCCAATAAATGCTTCTATTTGATCAAATACAGTGTATATGATTATGAGGTTGGAAAAACCAAATACTCACTAACAACTTTCACTGAAAACCACTAGAAATAAAGTATAATGAAATATACTGAAAAATTTCAGGTTTAGATCAATAAAGAATCAGAGACTCAAAAAGAAAGTAACTGAAAATTTACTAATTACAGGAAAAGAACAAAAAATACAGAAGCAGGGACTTGATAGCAAATGTAGAATATTTCAAACAGATAAATTATATTGTAGCTTACTGTCTGGTGTTGATATCTATAGACACATAACAAAGTGGCAAGTATTGTTGATTTCCATTAAGTGGCTGAGCACCAGCTTGAACACATGCCAGGCAAGATCATATTTGGATCAAAACTATTAACATAAGTCTGTAGAATCCAACTGACCAGACATTGTAACACATAATAAGAAGGCAAATGCATTCCAATCCAAGAAAATGCTATCCTCTTTAAAAGAGAACTGATTATCAGGTAGCACAATAAAAGAATACACTTTTAAGAACTGATTAGATATTGTTAAAATTTTTTATGTAAGGTATCACTTAAATGTCTTGTTATTATTTAGTTTGTAAGAAGCTAACTTTGAAGCCATCAAATGTAGATGAAAATAAATTAATAACATAATTGTATTTCTTTAATTCTTTTTAATATCCAAGTTGACCAGAATAATGCAACAGAACCTTTTGGAAGTTTTTAAAACTGGATTCTCCAAAAGTGTATATAGCTTTTATCAATATCTGTAGAATTTGTTGATTAAAATGATGGAAGGAAAACTAGTAACAATAAGACTTCTATTTTATAAAGGATTCAGAAAAGTCCAATATAATTGTTTGTCTACTTAAGATATCCACAAGTTCAATGACAAAAAAGATATAAAATCCTACTAGACAATAGACAGAATGCAAAGACTAGCTACAATTTAAAACCAAAGAATTATAAAGCATAGTCAGAAATAACTAAAATAAACTTTTGGATGGTTATCCTAGATCTAGATAATAGTGGTCATGAGCATGTAATAAGTATTTGAAACTAACCCAGTTTACACAGCTGATGAAGAAGTGGAAGACCAAGGTGTGACTGTATTACACAATAAATGATGGAAAGATTACCATTTAAATCTTTCATGGTGATTATCTACTCATTTTTTGATTATATATCATTCTACTGACAAAGAGAACAGTGTTGAGATATAAACTTAAATGTAAGAAAACTGTGTGTGTTGTATTTGAAAAATTATTTACAAAATATCAAAGGAAACAAATCTTGATGATTGCAAGAACATTTAATGATGATAATGTAAGAGTGAGATGGGATGGCTGGCACAATTTTTTTTAAGATATAACAAATTGATCAAAATGCAAAACATTTTGATGAACAGCAACTTGATGAATGAAAATAACTTGGATGATAAAAGTAGTATTAAGAGTGTAAATGTTGGATTTGACAAATTCACAGAATTAATTCTGGTTAGTGCATGTTCATATGGCATTATATCCAGGAAAAGATGTTAATGTAGCACTTAGATGTCTTATTGAAATTTAGTTTTTACAAAACTAATATCTAATTCATTAAATATAGATGAAAAATAAATCAGTTATTCTACTAGAAATGTAGTAATGCTGATTAAAATTCAAGTTTATAAAAGTTTTCTAACTTAAATCTATAACCATCACCATTTTTGGTGATTACTTCAACTAAAGCAAGAAAAAAAAACAAACTCACTTTGTTAGGAATGATTAAATTAACAATTATGAAATCTTCCCAGAGAAAAAAAATCCAGAAAGATTAAAGACAAATATTTGAAAGTTGAACCTAAAGTTTGCAATATGAAGATTTAAAAAAATTTAGAAAACAAAAGATGCTGAAGAGCAAAAGATTACATAGACAAGTATTTAAAAAATTAGATTATTTGTTGACAAATATGCATAGAATGACTGCAAAATCACATTTGAAGGGGAGCAAGTTTGATGTATTCAGTATATAGACCAGGCACTACACGAATATATTGAACTATGAAGTGAATACCAGAATGCACCAAGAATATTATACCATTCATAGGTATAAATTAGCTAACAAAATTTACTAGGTTATATACCAGCACTTTGGTTACCTCATTACATTATATTATGATCATGATATTAGAATTGATAAAAGTATAAATGTTATCATTATGAATGTACTTATTTAAGTCAACAGAACAATTATTTCCATTTAAGAATGTATTACAGGAAAACTTATTGAAATTAAATTCTCCGAGTAGCTGCTGAAAATATCAATTGAGTAAGTTCAAGGATCTGTAGATTATTATTGATGGAAAGGATCTGTAGATATATCAATGGAAAGATGGTGCCAATTATTGATACATGTTGGCTCATTTGGAACATTAAATAAGAGAAATTCAAAGAATTTTTAGTTGCTTCTGGGTCATCAAGGAGTAAATAAAGTGTGCAAGATCATAATAATATCTACAATAAATTCTTTTAGTTTTTGAGAGAGAACAGTATCTAAATATGATCTAAATATGTGCTAAAAATGAGTAAAACTGATTTCCACATTGCAAAAAATCATATATACAAACAAAAATATCAACAATAAAAAGCATTTGAAAGAATAAATATAAAAATGAGCAGAATTTGATTTGGAGAGTAGAGAATAATTTTCTCAAATTTTTTTTTCTGGACATTGATAATTCAGCAGATTGGATCATCTTTGGTTTTCTTTCATTTTGTGACAGCAAAATATTCAGAATGAACAAAATAATTAAAATGAAGATTTTTTTCTTCAATCTCATATCAATTATTTAAAAAGCAAAAATAGAATAAAATCAACTTGTGCATAAATTTAGATAGGTATGGATTTGTCTGTAGTCATTAATATATGTATGTAAATACACATTTCTAAACAAAGGCATAATGTGTGTACATATTTGTATTATTACATATACATGTACAAAAGAATTAAGTGATATTATAATGCATACATCTTATTCTACATGCATGATTGAATACATCTTATTCTACATGCATGATTGCATATATGTATAGACATATATGTATAGACACATAAGAAAAGCTTAATAAAATCTTTCATCTGAACAGTTTTACTTATAAACAAAAACAATGCTTTTATCAGTTTTTCAACTATTTTACATATTGAAAGAAGATATTCTGGGATGGAATTAGAGAGCTTTAAATTGTACACCCTGTAAAAAGTGCATTTTAAATTACATATACAGATAAATAAAGATCAACTGATAGTCATAAATGAGAACCTTTTGGTATTGCAGGACTGTTTCAGTCATGAGTCATGCTTCATTGAATTCATACCTCATGTTCATATTAGGATTCATTTACTGATGTAGTGAATTCACTTAGATTTTTAAAATGTTTTTTGGTGTCATACATTTCAAAATAATCATCAAAGAATAGATTTTATTCTATAAGTAAATTAAGTAATCCTTGCTGTTATTGCTTAGAGATTAATCATAGTTTGTAATTTTCTCTCATTTTTGGAATGTTTAATGCTTGTTAGGAGGGTGATGCTCTTCAACAAACAAACCTACTTTTATGTTACATTTAATTGAGCAATAATAATAATAATAATAATAATAATAAACAAAATCAAAAACAAAAATAATACTTTTTGTCTAAATAAAAGTCATCAAAATAAAATAATAATATAATAAAACAAAAAAAAACATTTAACACTATTACTGATAATAATAGTGATATTTGGAATCAGATATAAAACTAAAACAGTCACAGCAATAGCATGATGATATAACTAATAACGTTATAAAACCCATTGATAATACTATTAGTAAAGTAATAAAAACAATATTAATAACAATAATAATCATATTAGTATTAATAGTGTTGTCAATAAAAACAATGAATGTGTGTTGATCTGAAAATGTTGGGCATGTTCCCTTGCCTACTTATTTTATTAGTTTCTATTCATTTGTAAATTAAGTGTATTCATGTGTGGTTCATGATATCTTGTAGGTACTGTTGATGCCGAGGAGTAACATCTACTAGTTGACTAAATTTTTCCATTAATGATGGCCCCATTTGTTGACTGAGGGCTGATATAAGATTTGTAGTTGCCTGTCGTAGGCTGCAACTCCCACCTTGCACAGTGCCACTGCCATTAACACAATTCAAAAGGTGAAGCAACAGAGGCAGAATGTGCATCTCAATTTGTTTGGGTTTGATCTTGTACTCATGCTCCACCAATTCTAAAAAAGTAAAATAAAAATAATAACAATAAAAACCATGAAAAGAATTCAATATTCATATGTTATATGTTACCATATTGCAACAGATTTTGCATTTTGTCCCCAAAAAATATCTTAGTATAAAAATAATTTTGACAAAAAATTGCTTTTATCTACAACAATATTATATGGATATTAATGATAAAAAAATAATGTTGTTAAAAATGATGACATATTTTGGTAATAATTTCTTATTGTTATTAGGTTTTCACAGGTCTAAGTATACAAATATACATAATACTTATAAAAAACAACAGGATTATTTATGTATGGATTGGCACTTCTGCCTAGGATCATTGTTGTATATATATATATATATATATATATATACACATACAATATTTGTATATATATATTTTATGCAGGATAAAAGTGCTGCTCTCTGTCTAGGATCAGAATAGTATCCATATACCACTTGCATAGTTACAACAACCAGGTTGAATATTCAAATCAATAGGAATAACTTGCTATATTATATGGCTGTTTTCTTTATTACAGGAAAATGTTACAGGCAAAAAATGCACAAGGCATATAATATAGATAGATAAATGATTCTTTAAACACAATTTTACACTTCATTTGTTTTCATAGTATCAAAATTTATCACTAATAAAAATTTTTTGCACAATATACCAACATACTAAGTCTCAGATTATGCTTACTGCCTTATGAAAAATTATCAATTATTTTTTAAAATTGATTTTGTCTTAATAGAATTTATTAAAATACTAAATATAAGTTATACTTCTGAAGGAAGTTAGAAAGAATGAAAGTAGAAAGTACTTAACCTGTGATCTTTGGTATAATTTCAGGACATCGTCTGGCATTTGTGGTCACTTGATTTGCAAATGGTCTAAGTAAAACAGATGGTTCTGTAAAAGAAAAGATATGATTTTAATTTTTAAATTTATTCAAATAAGTATATTTGTTTTTACAATTTTAAAATTCTAATACAAAGAGAATATTATGTTTCAAACCTATTGCTCATTTAATTTTTAAGTATTTGGATATGAAAATAATTGGTAAAAATCTTGGTATATCTATAATTTTCTTGCTGAAAACAATTAAATTAGGAGTGTTTGAAAAAATAATTTTATATGCACATGAAAGATAATAATTTGATAGTGAAGTATTGAAATATTGGTATAAAATAAAAGTTGTCATGAACAGTCACTTTTTAAGATTTTTGCACATTAATGTGGGTTTCCTTCAGAGCTCTATCCTTGGCTCTATGCAGTTTCATCAATGACTTTCCTGATGTCATTAGTTCTTGAATTGGTATCTATGCTGATGACACAACTATTTACTCCTACCTTAATGGTAAATCTGATAGGTTTGATATGGTCAAATTGACAAATGATCTCAAGAATGATCTCTAAAATGAACTTCAGTTGTTAATGAGAGCAAGAAATAGCATCTAATTTCAATGCCTCCAAAATGAAACTACTTTTTTAATCATCTTAGAGAACCTTTTTTTTTACCTCCAGAATAGTGAAATTGTATCTTTTTGGGCTAATTTTTTCCAGTGACATGAAGTGGAAAGTTATATTGAGTGAATTACTATGTCTGCTGCTAGGAAAGTTGGTTCACTGTATTGTGCTAGATAATTTTTCTTGCTATTTATTTTGAGATTGTGGATAAAATTAAAAATGAATCTTCAATAATATTGGCATCTTGGCTTCGGGCACTTTCCTACTGCCATAATGTAGTTTCCCTGTGCCTTTTATATAAATATTTTCATGGTAATTGTTCTGAGGAACTTCCCTTTTTAGCACCTCAGCTTTTATTAATTTAAGTGCAGTACAAGATTTAGTTATGTCTCATCATTTTACAGTTGAAATGGCTAGATGTAACCATAAGTTCTACACCAACAGTTTCTTCTCTCACACATCTTGTTTGTAGAACTCTTCTGACTTGTTGCTTTTCCAAATATTTAAATGCAATATCAGTCTGTCTTCCTTAATTCCTGTTCTTTTATTGGCCTCTCCTTAATAATGTTTTTTCTCAAATTTTTTCACACTCAGTAACCCCTTGTATTTTAGTGGCTTTATTATCTTGCTTGTGAAATGATTTAAAAGTACCCGGAATATGACTGACAATCAGTAGCATCAAAGATATAAGACTACTCAATAAAGGAGAACATTGCAGTGCTGGAAACTCAAGTTTGTTGAGAATGTGACATACAAAGATTTTGTTGCAGATCACATGTACCCCTTTCTGCTCACCAGGTTTCCAAGTGTTGATGAGTTTTTCCAGCAAGATAATGCAATCCTTCATTGTGGATGGATGACATGAAACTGGTTCCAAGAATATGTTTGACTACCAGGTATTCCATTGGCTTCCATGCCCATCCTGTGGAGCATATAAGGGATATATGACCGTTCATACAAGATATCCCTTAGTCACACACAACAAACAGCTTACTTATGGATAGCCCTGGAACATGCCTGAATAGATAAACCCACATGATAATTTCAACTATATTATGTAGTCAATGCTATTTAGGGGAAGGAAATAGTTCTACGTTAACTGTTATTTTTTGGCACTTCTATTTGCATACAAGATCATTTCTTATAAATAAATCTACTTAATTACTTAAGTCTATGTTCTCTCAAATATACATATGGAAAAAAGTATATATATATATATATATATATATATATATATATATATATATATATATATATATATATGTTTAATACATAAAAGGTTAATTGCCTGAGTTGAATCAGACAAGGAAACAGCAATATTAAAAAATGCTCAGTATGTGTGTGAAGAAATAAAATAAAATAAGTAAAAATAACATGTACAGCTTTTAACTTTAAAAATCAGGAGGTCTATTGAATCCGCTACCTTGGTTTCAACTTTACGGTATCCTCAGACGATTTTTATCAAATGACATCTGAATGCTTTATTTTTTTTTAAACAAACCAATGAATGCTACATTATTATTTAAAAAAATAAATAAATGCATAACATTGGGTGTAATAGAAAGGGAGGGGGAGCATGTAAAGAAGGAAGTAGAAGAAGAAGTGGGAAGAGAAGAAAAGCAAGTGTATTGTAAATGTATGTTGGGGTGGTTATTCATCTTCTTCCTTCTTCACATCCTCATCTTCCCTTTCTATTACACCCAACATTGTGTGTTTATTTATTTTTGAAAATAATAATGTAGCATTTTTTAGGTTTAAAAAAAAATTTAAAGTATTATGTGGTCATTTGATAAAAATCACCTGAGGATACCATAAAGTTGAAACCAAGGTAGTGGATTCAACTAACCTCCTGATTTTAAAGGATATATATATATATATATATATATATATATATATAATTCTTTATTATAATGTATTACATTTGAACATATGTAAACTGCCAGTTATTTATTTAGTGGTTTACATATGTTGAAATGTAATACCTTATAATAAAGAATTATAGCTCTATTATTGTATTGAGCCCTATTTTAAATACTTTTAAAGCAAGATTTGTACCACTAAAAATCTGTCTAAATATTTAAAATTAAGGTACAGCTCTAATTTAATTAGGAAATTAAATAAAATATTACAGATTAGAGTGCAACTGAGAACTTTGAGGAATAATACTGTTTTTTTTTATGTAAATTGTATTTTGCATCAGGTTTGTCCCTCTTTTATTCAATTTAGATTAAAAGAGGGACAAACTAAATTTTAGTTGGAAAATAGAAAATATTTTCATAAATGATTTTCTACAACATCTTTCCACTAGAATTGGGGTGCTTTGTGTAAGGTATAACAGTTTATGGTATGAATGTGTCCATACACTTTTCTTTTTTGATCTATTGATGTTCTCATTATATAGGATTTGTTCATGAGAGTGGTTGTCAGAAATTAACTATTAAGCTAGAAAATAAACTGACATTTTTAAGACACAATAGATATGGTTGCTTGGTGGAACCATATATGAAGGATATTATTTTTAATTCTTCTTCTTATGTATTGTCTGAGCTAGAATCTGCTGTTCTTGCTCATGACTTAGATATTTGTGTACCACCCATCATGCCAGATAAAGATACTTTTGGTGACCTTAGAGCCAAATTAAATAATTATGCTCACTTGTTTTCTAATACTCCTGTTGCTACTTCTGAATCAAACTGGAAAATTGAGCACAGGCATATATTATCTGATCACTAAAGGAAAACCATGATTTGGTGACCTCTAGTCCTGGTAAGGAGGCTGATGATGTCTTATTGGACTACACTGATTATGTTACTAAGATGTTATCATTTCTAAATGATACATCAAAATTTATAAAATTAGGCCCTGTTGAAGTAATTTTTGTGGAATTGATGAAATTTACTACTTCATCTGTCAAATTTAGCTTCGACAATATGATGTATCGTGAAATTGATGGTGTTGCCATGGGTTTCCCTTTGGGTCCTGTGTTGGCAAATATATTTGTCGGGTTTTATGAGGAGAGATTATTTAATGATTCATTATGTCCCTCTTTGTATCATTGCTATGTTGATGACACATTTTGCTTATTTAATGATGAAGCTGAGACTGATCAATTTCTCTCCTCCCTTAATAATCTTCAGCCTTCTTTGAGGTTTACCATTGAAAGAGGTTAACTCTAAACTTGCTTTCTTGAATGTATTGGTGCATTGAACTCCAACATCTTTTCATACCTCAGTTTATAGAAAGTCTACTTTTTCAGGTTTATGCACACGTTGAGATTCTTTTTGCCCTAAGAGGCTCAAAATAAACCTTATAAAATCTTTAGTGCATAGGGCATTAATGATCTGTTCTGAAGAGTTCTTCAATGGTGAGATCAGTTTTATAACGAGAACTTCATGCAATAATAGGTATCCACCTACTATTGTCAATTCCCTTCTCCGTGACAAGATTGCTGACTTCAGAAAAATTAAGCCAGTTATTATGGCAAAATGTCTGGTGTATTTAAGACTTCCATGGATTGGAGAAAATGGTGAAAACCTAACTAGACAAATTTCTTTAAATGTGCAGAAGTGTTATTTTTCTGCAGAGATGCATGTTGTATTTGGTACTAGATCAATTTATCTTCTAGTTGTAAGGATGTTCTCTGCCCTCATCAAATAAGTTCTGTAGTTTATAACTATGATTGTAAGCATCAGTTACATAGGGAGAAATACTCAGCAGCTTGATGCTAGAATTAAACAATATGTTCCATTGAAAATCAGGAACCATACCTGGTAATAAAATGAACTCATCTGCAATACTTATTGTTCCTCTTGAGAACATCTGATAAATAGCAGAGAATGTGCTATGGAATTTAGTGAGGATTGGTTCTCTGTTTTAGCCAATTCACATTCACTTTTTCATTTGAAAGTACTAGAGTCGGTTTACATCGTTTTTCACAGACCCTCTGTAAACAGCGAGAGCATTTGCTAGGCCTTGCTGTGATCAGTCTCTAGTAGTTTCTTCCCTTATTTTTTTCCCCATTCCCATCATTGACTAATTCATATCTCATATTTATTATAATTTACTTTAAATTCTCCCAAATAAAAGAAACTTTGATTAGCGGGAGTGAAACTGGTTGTTTTTCCCTCCTTTTATTTTTTATCCCTGATTATGCCTTGTAATGTTAAACTTAATATTTTTAAAGCAATATATATATATATATATATATATATATATATATATATATATATATATATCAGGGTTATGACCTTTTGTAAAATAACTGATTTCCTATATTATAATACATTGAAGTTTTGTTAAAAAATAATGAAAAGGATTTAATTCAGTTTAGTTTTTAAAAATGTCACCCTAACACAAAGTTTCTAAAATTGGATATAAGTATAGTTGGTAAAATCAAATTTTCAGTTTAGTGAACTTTTCAAGAACTAAAAGAAATTAATGCCTTTTTCATTACTTTTGCAAAAGTAAAAAAAAGTAATGACCCTAATATATATATATATATATATATATATATATATTATTATGTGTGTGCAAAAAATATATATATATATATATATATATATATATTATTGGTGTGTGCAAAAATTCAGATATAAATAAAAAATATATCTGTAAGAGGGCTATATGAATAAAGATAAAAGGAAAGCTTTTCCTTATGAAAGTAAAAATGAAGTGAATATTTTAGAGTGTACTTAAATTTAAAATTTTGAAAACTTATACATTTTCTTTCACATTACTTCACAATACTTATAAATAAATGTTGTAAAATAAAATTAAAGTCCCGCAGGACATGAAACACATTAATAAAGAAAAGTATTCCTTTTGTTTATATATATATACTTTTATATTATGTATATAATATAATAATATATTATATAAACTTAAATTTTCAATATCATTTTCAGCTTGCTAGTATTATTGTCTGCTTTCTACAACATTTACAATATTATAAAATAAAGCAGCTTCTTCCTAATATTAAGTAAGCATCAAGAAAATAAACAGACTATTACTACTACTACAATAATAATAATAATAATAATAATAATAATAATAATTTATTATCAAACTTACCAAGATAATGCACAAGTGAATCTATAATTTTAACTGCTGTGCTATGGATTTCTGTATTCTTTGATGATAAATTTGTAGCTACACAATTGACAGTTAAATTAACAACTGGACCCATGGACCCATGAAGAACTGGAATGACTTCATAGAGTATTTTCAAAGCCAACAAGTTGACCTTACTATTGGCATCTTGCAGACGAGGCAAAAATTTATCAAATACCTACAAGAATTTAAAACAATAATGTATAAATTTGGGAATCTCAGATGCATTGAGTAAAAATAAAATAAACTTTAAAAATTTAAAAAATGTCAACTAAAGGATTTTATTAAGAAATGTTTTATTCATTTTTTCTGGAAGTTTCTTAAATTGATTACAGCGAGATTAAGTGTATTTCTTACTTTCTTATTTTCATGTGTTTCCAATTTGGTTTTACATGTATGAAGTAATATGGTTATCAACTCAGGCAATGGAACTGACAAACCAGGCTGGAATATTCGTTAAAGTTTCTTGCATTCATTTAACACTAATGAATTTGGGAAAAGGGATGAATCTATGACAAAAAATGGTATATCACAATTGTTGACAAATGAAGAGATTTGTTAAGTGAGAACTTGGACAAACCACACTGGTTGAAGCTGAAGTAACAGTAAAAAAAAACAAAAACTGTCAAATTTGATAGTGTCAAACCAAAATTAGATTAATTAGTTTTAGCTCCAAATTAAATATTAAGATCTATTAGGAATTATTAAAAATGTGAATTTAGTTTTTTGGCTGTAAATGATATGACAAATATGGCACAGTCATTTCATGAAGAGATTCCATCAGATTTTATGCACCTTATACAAATATGGAAAAATAAATTTTATTCAAATCTTGAAGAAAATTAAACAAGCTAAAAATATTATTTTAAGTAATTAATCTTAACTAAATAAACTATTCCATTTTCTTTTAATTACAATACAAATAAAAATATTTTCAAATAAAACATTAATTCAAATTACAATTAGCACACAAATAGAACTCAAAGTAGCACTGAATTCACAAAAGCAAAAATTATAATTTGTAATAGAATGACATTTTTATATAGTGTAAAATGTTATGTAAAACATTGCTTACAAATGTAATTAATTTTTGTAAAAACGTGTTAAAAAATTTTAATTAAAAAGAATTTAGCTAAAGATTAATTTAAAAAAACCCTAGCTGCTTTAATAAAAACAACGGAAAATTATTGGTAAAGTGAATATTCAATCATACTTTTATTTTTATGCAAAATAATATAATGGTTGGCTATTCATATCCAAGTATACTAGTTTGCCAGGGTGGTTAACTGATCACTATTACAGATGTCTGCTCTGGCACATTTATACTTATTCAACACCCACAGAGCCCACCTGTGGTTTATACTGCAACTATAATGAGCAGACCTTAGTTACAGTTTCTGGAAAAGAGTATAAAATCTGGCATAATCAATAGTTGAACAAGGCCATTATGTTCAAACCCTCAGTCACAATGACTTGTGAATTCATGCTAGCACAACCAATGATAACTTACAAACAGTTCTGATTAAACCATTGTTGTTTGATTAACCCATTGTTGGTTTTCAGGCACTTCCCAATAGTACAATATAAAGAAGTTATTTCCTTGATAAATCGATTTTGGTGAGAGTCAAACCAGGACCTCATGGATGGAACCTGAACACTGTAACCAGTTGGCCACATGCTCATAATCAAAATGGAAAATATTAAAATAACAATGTAAATATGAAAAAATAGTGAACACTGAAGTGAGAGTATGGTTACCTGTGTAATATTTGCAGTAACAATGCCTGGACTAATTTCACACATTTCTTTGAAAGCCTCCAGCCCCTTTTGTCTGGTTCGCCAGTCATTTGCAGAAAGAAGGTTACCCATCTTTTTTATTTCTTCTTGTACTGATTCTATGTTCTTCAAAGATACTGGTCTTTTGGGACTTATTTGTGCATTCAATAGACTGAAAAACAAGTTTTCAGAATCATTTTTGTTATATGTTGCTTAATATTTGTTAAAGTAGGAAAGAGATAATTTAGACTAATATTTGAATTTTTTAAAATGTTTTTGAATTAATAATCTGGCAACAATGGTAATGTGAGTATCTTGGTGATTTTACATTAAGTCAGATTTTAGTATATATGTCATCAATGTTGGTAAAACTTTCAGAATGTATTTGAATTTATATGATAAATATACTGTGTCAAGTTTAACTTGTAATACTTGTTTTATTAAGAAATGTTTACAATAACTTATTTGGTGGTATTGAGTTGTTAATTATATTGTAAATAAATATGCATAATAATACAGTTATTGATATTTAATTTCAGGTATACAAAGATTGCTGTGGGTCATAAGAAAGGTATAATTTTAAAAGAGAAACAAGATATTGTAAAATTATTGCATGATAGGAATACAACTTTGGGATTTGTAGAAAAGTTAAACAGATCCCGCCCCCACAATTGAAATATTGGTAAAATAAAATAAAGAAAAAAAGATGCTATAAGCTATAAGCATGTTATAAAAGTAGATTGGTGAAACATTAAAAAGGTAATAAGCAAAAGTGGATTGATAAACAAAAAATATTTAAAGCTGATATTGTGAATGCAAACAAAGAAAAAGATGTCAAACTTTCAGAACATTGGCTAAAGACATGGAAGCAACCAAACTACTATCTTTAAGTAAATATCTCAAAGAGAAATGTTTAAGTTTGTTGAAGAAGTACATGAAAACTGATTTTTCAACAGTAATTTTTAGTGATAAATACAGAGCTATATTGCATGTAGGGCTAGGTAGAGATTGGATCTCTAGTCAAACAAAATGATTTTGAATTAAGGAGGTTGAGTAATGTTTTGGATTAGTATAGTAATATTCTAGGCAGTAAAATTATACAACCCTTCAAAGCTGATGATGACACAAGATAAATGCAGATAATTATTCCAAGTTCTAGCCTAAGCTGTTTTTGAGTGGCATAGACCACAATTAAGAAGCATTAAGCTAAAGAGTATATTTATATAAGAAAATGCTCTTTTACTTTCTGCAAAGCAGCCATTTGCCCAGTTTGCTAAAAATGTTTTTTGAAGATACCAAACCAAAGGAAAGGTTTCTAGCATCTCTAGAAATTAATCTAATGATCCATCATTAAAATAGATGTGTAAGAAAATGGAAAACTTAAAGATCTCTGGGAAGAAATAAAAACTGCTGCAAGTAATAATAAAGTTGAAATAGAAAATTTAATGGAATCAATATTTGTAGTACTTGTGAAGGTTAAAGAATATCAAGGGGCTCATATTAATATGTAAAATAATAATTGATAAGAATGGTGAAGCTCAGGCTGTTGCTTTGGATATCAAAGATATTTGACACGGTTTGGCATATAGGTCTTCTTCACAAGTTGAAATGTTATGGTATTTCTAGACAAATTTTTGAACTGATTCAGTCTTTTTTACCAAATCACAAAATGAGAGTTCTCTTGAATGGCCACTCTTCTAGATCTGTTTACATAAGTGCAGGTGTTCCACTGGGCTCTATCTTTCGACCTACAGTGTTTCTAATTTTCATAAATGACCTTTATAAATGACTTCATTAGTTCTCAACTAATCTATGCTGATGATATAACTATTTACTTCTGTCTTAATAGTAAGTCTGATTGATTTGATAAAGTCAAATTGGCAGCTGATCTAAAAAATGAACTACAATCTGTTGTTAAACAGGGCAAGGAATGGCTTGTTAATTTTAAAGCCTCAAAATGAATATGCTCTCTTTTAATCATCTGAAAGAACACTACCTTCCATCAGCATGGCTGATGCTAACTTCCTTGAGACTCATTGCACCTTCTCGGACTAATGTTTTCAACTGACATGAAGTGGAAAGAGTATATTGGATCAATTGCTAGGTTTTCAACTAAGAATGTTGGCTCACTATGTTGTGCTAAACAATTTTTTCTCCAGAATTTATCTTACATATTTATAAGTTTACCATTTGTCCTTGCTTCGAATATTGCTGCACCATCTCATCTGGTTCTCCTGTTATATATTTAGAGATTCTTGATAACATCCAAAGAAGAATCTGTAATATTAATGGTCCTGAGCTGTCCCATTCCCACTGCCGTAATGTAGATTCCCTGTTTCTTTTTTTATAAATACTTGAATGGTAATTGTTCTGATGAACTTTACCTAGACTTTATGAATTTAAGTGCAGTACTAGATTGGCAGCCAGGTCTCATCATTTTACAGTTGAAATGCCTAGATGTAGCCGTAAGTTCTATGCTAATATTTTTTTCTATTGCACTTCTTGCTGGTGGAACTCTCTTCTGGCTTCTTGCTTTCCTGTTAAATTTGATTTTCAAAAATTTAAATGCACTGTCAACTATTATCTTCTGTCTTTTTAATTCTTATTCTTTTATTGTTCTCTCTTGTTAATAGTAGTTTTTTCTCATATTCTCTAACACACAGTAATCTTTTGCATCCTAGTGACTTTATTGCTTTGTTTGGGGTGAAATGATAAAAAAAGGGTATTATGGGATATTGTATTAAATATGGCCTATATTTTGGGGATCTATTTATAAATAAAAATTTACATTACACTTTGTTTATATAATAAAACCTAACAACCTAAAAATGTTATAATCAATATTTTTAATTATCATAAATATTATAAGTTATGATATATCACTCATATAAATATATACTGAATATTTTCTCAACATTGTTAATATCAATTTTATTGTGAAAACATTGACTTGTATAATAAAACCTGTTAATGTATAGCTTGCTAGGCTAACTGCTACCTTACTGTTTTATGAGATAATCAAAACAAGAAAAACGATTTTGCTTCCATTTTTCAGGTATGGTATGAACATTCAATTTATAATATGGCTTTTGATATGCATTTATATTTTTTAATTGATTTCAAATTAACCTCAATTTAATTCAAAATTCAATTAAATTTACAATTATGTATTGTTGATTTTAAACATTTTTTGTTAAAAATATACTGTATTCAGTATTACTTTTTCAGATGATTAATAAATTTATTTTAAATAATAATTTATCCAAGATTTGATTTTTTGTTTTTTCATAAAAGAATCCCAAAAATTTGTTGTTAAGGATTTTGAGAACTGAACTATTATCTTTCCTAATAAATTTTTATAACTTACCTTCCTGCAGAGCCACCTCTGGATGAGGGTAAGGATTTAGCAGAATGAGGGGCAGAAGAATCATATGACATGTCCATCAAACTCTAAAATAAAATAATTTTCATATTAATTGAAACACATTTTAATAATTATTAAATTTATGTAGATTTGTAATTTAATGATTGCTTCTAAAACAATTATTAATAAAATTTAAAAATTAAATGCTTTAAATTTTAATCTCTAGTCCAAAAGAAAATATACAATTCAGAATTAGAAAAAAGTAAATAAAAAACAGAATCAGAAGCTAAAAGCCAAATCCTAAATAAATATAAACTAATAAATGTAATGAATACTAACAGAACAATTTAAAATATTTAGTAGGAATTAAAAAAAAAACTACAAACAACCACAACTGATTTGACCAAAATTGAAAATTTCTAATTTATTATTACTTCAAAAGAAATTCTTTGACCAAAACGACATTATTGAAATGTTCTACTTCTGTATCACTTTATTATGATTATAAAAAATATTGATTTGATTAGTTTTCTGAGGAATTATTTTGAATGAATTTTTGCATTTAGTTAGACTAACATGATACATTCTGTTGTATCCTGTTGGCAATTCCACATTTTTTAAAAACAGTTGTAAGACTGAGTCAGGATATAAAAGGCCTCAAAGCAACAAAAAAGCCTTTTTCTGCTGCCGAGATGACTAGGATCAAAGTGTAGTATTTGTTCTAGTAACCAACAGTCGGCTCACAGCTTCAACCATCTCTAGTAGGCCTCCAGCTCCAGCCATCCTTGCCAGCAACAATGATATATAATAAATTGTTCTTTTCAGTGATCTTCAGCAACAACAAAAATGTCCTTTTCAGGACAACGCTATTCAAAACTTCTTCTCACCCTCTACATGAGAAATAGTTTTTGCCTAGTGCACTGTAACCTTATTTTTGTTTATGTATTTTTCTCTAACAAAAATAAACTTAGCAATATATATTTTTTGTTTGTTGTTGTCTTCCATCATTCAATATCTGTTTGCAGGTCGATATACCACCTGCACCAATTCTATGCATTGAAGATTTCATTTAAAATTATATGCTTATTATTTGTTCTATCTTGAGAAATTATTGACACAGCTTAGCATTATGAACACATTCACAAGTGAAAAAAAGAGAAGCATAAGACTAAAAGTTATTATCTATGATTTTATAACTATACACCCACTATATATATTTATACTGAAATTTGTAACTTTATTGTTTCTTTGTGGAGGGAGAAAAAGTAAATATAGTAAATATTACTGAATTAAAATTGGGTAATATTTACTATTTCATTAACAAATTATTCTGTCAATATAACTGATTAAAGAATTCATAAAGATGCCAACAATTAAATCAAATGGTTCACAACATGGTTGTTTTCATTTAAGCTTTGAAAAGTGTATGTCACCTTCTTATGTAAGTGATCCATTTGAGCTCTCAGTGTGGCAGCAGATTCAGAGGGAAGATATTTTTCAAGAAGTTGATCAAGGTTTGGATTTTCCAGCAAAAGATAGAGTATCTCTTTACCATGGATTCTGAAACAGAAATTTAAACTTTTCATTCAACACAATTTTTAAAGTTGTCTTTACTCTGAACCAAAATTTAATTTTTTTCATGTTCACCTGTATTCAGTTAAGTACCATCATGTGATAAGCACTTGGGTGATCATGTCTCTTTCGATTCATGACTGACTAGACAGAAGATATTCCAGCAGTAGGATGGTATTTCTTTCTGTGGCAGACTGGTTGTCAACCAAAGCTATAGGACCCAGTCTATCCTGCTATACAACCCATAGATGGAGGTAGAAGAGATGGATTCATATCTTTACCAAGGGTATTTGTACATAAGTGAATGTAACCTGACTGGAATTTGAACTTGGCTCTCTGATTTCTAATTCCGAGCCATTATCCATTACATTACCTGCACACCAATTTAAATGAATAAGTTTCAATTGAAGGTTTTCAATCTACTAAACTCTTTAATGATATACTATATTTAATCATATTCATAACCTAATTCATTGCAAAATATAATTAGAGAAAATAAATGATAACATTTTTTTTTCAGAAAATGAACATTTATCAAAAAATTGAGCTGTTACTGTTGCTGCTACTGCTGGTGGTGGTGCATTGTTGTTGTTACAGAAGAAAAAAATTAAAGCCCTTTTTACATATGCAACATAATGTATTCTAGGAACAGATTTTCCAAGTCAAATGTTTTTTAAACTAGCTTCAGCTGAGAAGTAATTTTCAGAATGTCTATTAACAGATTCATTCATTAATATTGTTGAAGTACTTAGAAAAAATATGACAAACTGGAAAAGTTTATTGTGATGTGTTTCATCCTTTAGGGTTTCATTGGACACATGCTTATATGTGAAGTAATTATATGTGAATGATTTCTGTTGAATTACTGATTTGACATACCTTACATCATTTGAAGCATCTATAATACAGTCCAATGTGGCTTGGAGAATTTTATCTGTTAGGTCTTTGGCACCACTTAGAAGTCTACGGTGGCCAATTTTCTTTGCTATTGCCAACACATAGTATGAAGCAGTTTTTCGTATCCCAACACTCCGGTGCCTAAGAGATAAAGAACATGAAAAGTCACTGATATATTTGGGAGATGTACTGGTGGTAAAAATCATTTCCTAATAGAAAAGCAATTTCTAAATTTTTAAGAGACAAAATAAAGAAAAAAATATGCTATAGAAACAATAAATATTAAATGACTGTAAATGACAATTAGGTTTGGTTAACATGTAAAACCTTATACAGATTAAATTGAATCAAGAAATCAAATTTTTTCTTTAACAGGAAAGTTCAAGATTGATTATTTCACTCATAATAGCAACAAGAACATGTATACACAAGCACACACTATAGAAGAAAAGCCTTACAATATTTCTAATATACTATTTAACATTCTACTCTTTACTCGGGCAGGCAACATCCATTGTGTTATTAGCACGAAGTTTTGTCTGCTTTATACTACAATCTTCTTCAGATGTATAATTTGTAAAGAAAGACAGGGCTTATTTTTTTATGAAACAAGATGATGAAAAAATAGCTGTCATCTTGTTGATAACAAGATTAATAACACAAAGAAACATTTCAATTGTCAGAAAAAAGCTTCAAATTATAATGACTATGAAATATGTTCTTTGGTGATTTGCCATGGATTTTATTAAAACATAAAAAGGAAGAAATTTAAAAGATCTGTTAATACAACTTTTATTATAAAACATTCTGAGTCAGACCAAAAACTTTCAAATTACATAATAAACTGTGTTTATCAATGCATTAAATATTCTGTAGCACATTTTGGAATCGATTTTGGTTTGTGACTGTAAAAATAAGTGCAGTATTTTATACTTTCATGATAAATAAAACAAAATATTTCCAATTTCTTACAAATTTTTCTTCCTTTTACAAATATTTATACCACAGTTACACTAAAACCCAGAGATAGACTAACAAATTTTTCACATGTACATGTATGCAGATGCCTTACTTTTAGATTTCATAATAAATGAAAGAAACAAAATTTAATAAAACTTAGCCTTAACTTACTTCAAACCTTTGGATATGAGAATCGGCAAAGCTTTCGAGCAGGTTACATTATCTATCATCACATCAAAAGCCTTTTCTACATCGTTCCTGATGAATTCTTTGCTGACAGCCATCAAAGCTAATAAGCAACCGATTGTCTGGTCTAGTTCCTATAAATATAAAAAAAGTAAAATATATAAAAAAATAAAAATATAAAAAGTAAGACATTTTTGTTATAGTATTAAAAAAGGCAAAAATACAAACCATAATCTAATGGAAATAAATCTCTGGTTAATTTACATTCCTTGGTTTTTTTATTATTTACAAACAGTTTATTTGGTTATTATTCTAAATAATTTTATTTTGCATCCATTTACAATGAATGTCCTTTATTTATATGTAAGATATTTTTAAATTAAATTTTTAATTTAGGTGAAATACAAGACTTATGAATGAAGATAAAAAAATAATTTATATAAAAAGAAGACATGCTGTCCATTTGTTTATTTTTCTTATATTGAGATTGTAGGGAGTCCTGATAAAAACCAAATAAAATAAAATATAAAAATAAAATATATAAACAAAAATAAAAAAATTAAAATTAAAATAAGGCATTTGTGCTTTCCTTATAAAAAGAAGGAAGAAGAAAAGACTGAACCCAGTCCAAAATGCCAGAAAATTGACACAAAGAGACTTTTGATGTTAGCTGAAACCAAAGTTCCTGACAGAATCTTGAAGCCTGGTCAAAAGGATATAAGCTGACACCTCTGAGTGAGAATCAGAAGGAATGGCAAGAATGACCTATTTCTAATACTACTACTACCCCTAGTATGGTCCAACTTCAAAACTGCCACTACTGGGATAAAACAGACATTTCTCAAGACTACTACCAATATCCACCTTATAAACAAACATTTTTTTGTGACACTGTATATCAAAGGACTCACTCATCACTCTGAAGAAAATAAATAAAAATATATTATTTATTTTATATCCTTGATTCAGTTCATTTTATTCCAAAGTTTTCAGTAAATAAAATCCTACCATCTATCTACAAGATAATCCCAATAGGAAATGGTGTTTCATATTTACTGTGAAGTAAGAGATAAATGTTAAGCTACATAAACCAGCAGCTACTAATTCAAATCTGTCCTGAGTAAAACAGATTTATTTATGGCAAGGGAGCCAAGGTGTGAAGTAAAAATTTAGGAATAATAATGCTTTTAGAATTAATTTAATAAAGGAATAGTCAAATTTTAAATGTGTACAAAGAGGCAAAGCATTCTATATAATTAAATAAATGTCTATAAATGCAATAAACACATGAAAGAGAGGATTTTGTTGATACATACAGGATCCAGTCTTCTTTTTAAGTAAAGAAACATATCTGTTACACAAAGGATGGCATCTCTCTTCACTTGGGATCTGAGGTTGTCTAACTGGAAAGAAATCAGAATATATATGTATAATAAAATAATGTTTTCAATAGCAATGTTTTAATGCTTGTAATTAATTTTAAAATTTAAAAATAAATATAAATTTAATGAATTGCATCCAAATTAAATATTAAATACTTTTAGATTCCAGACAAAAACAAGAAAGCATGAAGTTGTTTTATTAAATGCCAACATTATAGCTTGCATTAATATTTACAACAATCAATTAATTTTTCCAGTTATTTTAATATACAAAACACAAGCTGATAGTGGCTGTATATAAATAATCTATAACACTTGAATTTGAAGGCACATTGGAATAGCAAAAGATGCTTTCCAAAAACTATACAAAATATTAAAAAACAGAAAAATTTTAATGGGAACAAAGAAAAGTGTGGTAAACTGTTATATAATATCAATCCTCCTATATGGCAGTGAATGATGAACAATTTTCTCACAGATGAAAAAGAAACTTGAAGCAAAAGAGATATTCTACTGAAGAATGCTGAGAATAGCATAGATGGAGCATGCAAGCAATGAAGGAGTTCTAAGGATAATGAGAACTAAAAAGAAACTTGTACTTAGAATTAGAAAGAGTTGAATTTTCTGGTATACATAAAAAGGAAAGAGAGTGTAGAGAATATAACACTCAAAGTATATACTGGCGGCAAGAGACAACAAGTAACCTACCCAATGAGCTTGTGTAAAAGAATGGTAGAACAGAGACTGAGAAAGACAGTGAAAACATTGCTACTCTACCACTATTTCCATGGCAAATTTTCAAGTGAACTCTATTCTTTAGTTTCACCAGTTCAGACCTTTACAGCTAAGTATGTTCATGGAGTCAAACCACCCTCATTCCCTCTGTATTCCAATTGTAAGGAGGAAGTTTCACTCAGTTTTTCCCCAAGAGCTGTTGCTTTGTGGAACATACTTCCATGTGGACACTTCTACAAATGATAATATGATAACATCTTCAAGTCAAGGATCAATCATTACCTCCATATCCTCATAATTTTCACTTTTTACTTCTGACTCTTACAGTCATATAATAAACCTCTTTTAACAACTCTCTACCTCGAATGGCTCTTAAGCCTTGCATTGTGTAAAGGTTAGTACAAAAAAAAAAAATAAAAATTAGGAAAATTAAAAGTAGCTAATAAAGTGAGACATAATATAATGTGTGTGATGTAGAAAAATTTTACCTCCTTAGTGACTGCTAATATTAATGGATGAAATCCAGAATCAAAAATATTTGGATGAAACTTGGCCAACTGCCTGATTAAATTGAGAGCCTCACATTTTAATTTCCTGTAAAATATAAAGAACAGAAATAACTGAGAGTGTAGTATTTCAAGACAAAAAATGAATTAATGATTCAAAATTAAAATGGTATTTAAAAATATCATTAAAAAAGAATCAAGCAGATTATGATTGATGATTTTTCCTTCATAATTATATATAATAATGTCAACTCATTGTGTATAATTACTTCTAACACTAACATATAACTTATGACAATTATTGGATTGACAATTTCACTATTTTTGCACTAAATCATACATATACTTCAAAAAATAAATTTATTTGATTAAAATTATATACAGAATAAATTACTATGTACAAATTGAATGGAACAGTGAAATACATACAAATGACCTATAAATGGTGGTACCTACAATGACGCTTAAATTTACACAATTTTCCTCAAAGACAACATAAACTTTTGCTTTGATTGATTATTGAACTGTATGTTAATATTGTGAGATTTCATATGCCTACTTAATCCAGATGTATTTCTATATACTTTATTATAAATTGGGCAGAATAAATCTGGAGAAATGTGTTGCATGTAGTCAGGTGGATGTCTTATCTATGGCTATGCAACTTGAAAGGGATAGACATGAATACAAATATCACATAGAAATATGCATGCTATCATCATTGACTGGCAGTCCAATTCTTGCAGCTCTTTTTGTCTTAATGTCACTACACCTGTTTTTTTTTCAGAGATTTGCTTCCTCATAAATATTTTCCTTTATTTTAATTGATCAATAGCCTCATTCTTTCAGTTATCCTGATTTATCTTAAAAGCTGTGAGTAGTTTGTCTATTGAATCTTTAAAACATGCTTTTGATTTACCTGATGGGTTTTAGTTTCTTTTATCTTTTCATACAGTAGTTGGTATGCACTTATCATCCTCTCTGATCAAATGACCTGTTCAATGTAGCCTGTGTTTTTAAATTTATGTTTCAATGCTGTGCATACTAGTCAGATCCAAAATTTCTATTATCCTGTGTCTTTAACAGCGAATGAATTTTGAGGATGGCACGTAATATTTCAAGGGCCCTGATATGTTTTTGGTATGTTACCCAGGTTTCACAAGAGTAAAGAAAACAAGTGAGTGCACATGATCTATGAACCAACATCTTAGTACTAACTTTAATATTTCTATTTGTCAAAATACAATCTTCCAGATTTTTAAAAGCCTGGTTGACATTTTGGATATGGATTGTGATTTAATCATTCAAAGAACAAAGGCAATCCAAAGTGCTTCTAATGTATAGGGAATTTGTCTATAACTTTCAGCTTAATATTATCTAGGAAGATCTGACCATGATACAGGTTAATTGGTAGTGGCTGATACATCACCATGGTTTTATGCAAGCTTATCTGAGGCCTAAAAGCTTTGTAGAATTAGTTAAGCTTGATCATTAAGTATTGTATAGTACTGACCATATGGGTTACAAAATCGGTCATCAGCATAAAGTTGATTTTTATTAGAATAGAAAAAAGTCTTTGTTTTGGCTGAGGTTATATATTTATATTGTATATAAATTATATGGCTGCAATCCTTAAATGCATTTGCCAGAGATAACAGAGAAGAATATAGAGAACAATGTCCTATATTTATACAAGCTTCCATGTCATCAAGGCATACCAATTTAAGCAAAACATCTCATAAAGCCTATACACAATGCCAAATGCCTTTGTTAAGTCAGCAAATACCTAATCTAAATGCAAGTTTCGCTCTTGACATTTCCCTTGTAGTTGCATGGCAGTAAAAATGAGTGTCTATCTTTGGCTAATTATTCATCCCTTGACAATGTTCTCCACCAATTATCTTTCATGATATTTCTTGTCTTCTCTCCCTTTCCATTGACTCTTCTCAATGTATTTTGTGTTTTTTTAGATGATGAATTTGTTTAAAGTATCTGTTTGATTTAAACTTTAAGTTTAAACTTCTGAGTTATCTCAGTGTCACATTCATTGAACAAGTCATGATGTACTAATTTTTGAGTTATCCCAGTGTCACATTCATTGAACAAGTCATGATGTACTAATTTCTGAGTTATCACAGTGTCACATTCATTGAACAAGTCATGATGTACAAATTTCTGAGTTATCCCAGTGTCACATTCATTGAATAAGTCATGATGTACTAATTTCTGAGTTATCCCAGTGTCACATTCATTGAATAAGTCATGATGTACTAATTTCTGAATCCCAGTGTCATATTCATTGAACAAGTCATGATGTACAAATTTCTGAAACTCTTGAGTATCTGAAGAAACATTATACAATTATTCTTGTAACTCTTGTCAGGAAGAAGAAAGGCATCCTGAATAAATGAGAGACATTCTTGAAAATGTTCCTACATAACAGAATCTTTCAGCTTTGAAACACTATGTCTAGGAAAAGTTTTAGTTTTAAATCTCCTGTATCCAGAATGAATGACCATATGAAGTTTAGCAAGGTCATTATGCTGCTAGCAGGCAACACCTTTTAGTGAATTCACATTAAGTCCATCTTTTATATACCTGCATCAACAATGGCATAATTGTCCTTTAACCCTTGCCCAGAAGAAATTGGATCCTAAATAAATGAGAAACATTCTTGCAGAAGTTCCTGCACAACAGGATGTTTAATTTTAATATATTGATAGGTCTAGGAAGAGTTTGATTCTTAAATCTCCTGTGTCTAGTATGAATAATCATACGAGTTTTAGCTCTTATAAAAGTGTGATTTGATCAGCAGTCAGCACCTTTTAGTGAATGCATATGAAGTTCATCTTTCATATCCCTGCATTGAACAATGACATAATCAATAAAAGGGCATTGGTTGAAGCAAGGAAATATGATCACCTTTATGTTTAAACTGGGTACTTGATATAAATAGGTTTATCTCTTTACAAAGTTGAAGAAACGACAAACCATTTTCATTTATTTTTCCAGTTACATGTTATCTTAGACAACTGTGTGTGTGTCAATCTGTACTGACTCTGCTACTGAAAAAAGTTTCTAAAAGAATAATTTTGTTAGAGTTTAAAAGTACACAAAGAATTTCCCTTAATGCTCCATAAAAGCAAGTTTTTCATCTTCACTATCAAAAATGGATGCATATGCACTGATCAGAGTAGCAAAATGATAATTTTAGTTGAAAGTTCAAGAGTCTTTCCTTAACACATTGTGGTGATTTGATGAATAAGCATTATATATAGTTCTGAATAATCAAAGTCATTGTAAATAACGCAGCTATACACACAGAAGAGCTAACAAAGAATGAATATTTAACATATGCAATGTGTTTGTTTAAAATATTAAAAAAAAAAAAATTAAAACCAAAGAAATGATTTCTATTATAAATAATCCTGTAAAGAAGAGTAAAGTTATTAAGCAGAAATCTATTTTATTGTTATTAGAAAGTATAACTGCTGTTTTTCTTACCAGTCATCTTGAATAAGTTTACGCTGTATTTCTTCCAGACCACCAGCTGGGATTGATGTTAGACTTTCAGGATTATTATTGAGATCTGAAGAGGAGTTCCCAGTCAGTTGACTATTGTCAGAATTTAACCTACAGTTAAATAATAACAGTAAAATATTTTTCAGTATCATTGAAGTAACTGCAAGACTGTTTTCTATTACTTGGAGGCCTTAGTTGAAGTCCATAAAGTTTCACATGTAAAAACAATAAATAGAAAATTAAAATAAATTTTGATGTAATAGTATTAAGTAATAGCAAACAAGAGTTGACTGAATTTTCTAGATGAAGAATTATTATTATTAATTTTTGACTAGTTTTTTCTTCACTTTATTTTTATTTAGGTCATTGTTATGTTTTAAGTAACTTAGATTGGAAAGAAAAAAATTATACCGGAATTGCAGTCCCTTTCATTGTTAAGATGTTTTATTAGGGCAGTAGTGCCTTACTGGGTTTTAAAATCTAACCTGCAGACATCTTTAAAGTTTACTCATTTCTGATTCAAGCTGATTAATACATTGAAATAAAATTAAAAAACATGAAAACATTAATAATTGATGTAGGTTTTATATATTTTGTGAAAGATAAAAAAAAATGAAAATATATCATTTAAAAAGAATAAACCTTTCTTTCATACAAAATTTATACTATACCTCTAGACAACTATAAAACTATCAATTTATTAAAAATGGATATTTCTATAATTCATACAATAATAACTAATTTTATAAATTATTTTTAGGAAATATACTTACAACTTAGGTTTAATCCTAGGTCCCATTGGAGGTTTTCCAGGTTTTTCTGTGGCAGGAAAATTCGTTGCTGCCAGTAGAACTAAAAAAATCAATTTAAAATTAATTTTGTATGTATAGAATATAAGATACATTCTTTTTTTGCTTATACTAGTTTAATTAATAAAAACCTTTACAAAATTATTAAAACCAACATTGTACTAACTAAAATTAACTGGATTATTTATGAATGGATTGAAAATACTGCCTAGTAATACACCCCAACATTTCTGTCAAGGATCAGTTTATGGTATCTGTACATTCTGGCTAGGATCATACAGTATCCCCCCACACACATATATATATATTTTCATACATATATTGTTAAATATAACAGACAATAAATGTTTATTGTGTTTGATCATGAGCTGTTCTAAGCTTTGTATAGTTTCTTTAATTTTGGAAGAAAATAAAGACAAAACTGTCCAATATTTGGATATTTTTTATTATGCTGTTACTGGACCTAAGCTTTTAGCTCACATAAGCCATCATCAGAGTGTTTATATGGACATTTCAACAAAGATATTCACTATTCACCATCAAAGATGATATTCTGTTATGTTGACATAGATGTTGCTATAAGACGATAACACTTGCAGAATGGCAGATGCAGGTTGTAAATCCGTGATCGGTTCTATAACGTTGTACCACATGAGAGAATGAAATATTAACAACAGAACCATATGTTTAGATGCAATGTAATGTATTGTGACTAGTTTGAAATGTAATTTTGTTGAGTGTGGGTGGCTTTGTTTTAATGTAGATGGCCTCCAATATCTGAATGTTCTTTTTACTATGTGTAGGTTTAAGTATTGTTATGTTACCAACCATCTGTCTAATATTATGTACATGGCTATGTTTTTCTCAGAAATGTTGTTTAATAGAACTAAGATCAGAAAGGTGACAGGTAAATCTGTGAAAGAGTTTGGTTGTAGTAAAACCAATATATGAAGTGGGTTTATTATTAGTGTCAGAGATAAAATCTTTGAATGAGCATGTAAATTGATACACTACATTGTTTTTTCTTTTGTAAAGGATTTAGTTGTGTGGTTGTAGAGTTATTAGAGGTCAATTATTTTAAATTTTTTCATAATATATGATGAGCTTAACTTATTATTATTAATGGGTTTAACATTTCTGCCTATTATGTTTTAGAATGTTCTTTCATCATGTTTGTAATTATTATGCATTTGATTACAATAGTATAAGTTAATAGTATTATGTTTATTTTGATGTACACTATTATTATTAATATTATCAATTTTCTTAGAGGTATTATTAGCCTTAGATTGAGGAACAACATAATAAAAACATATCCAAATGTTTGTCAGTTTTTGGCTTTATTTTCTCCCAAAATATGAAGCTTAGAACAACTAATGATCAAACATAATAGACATTCATTGTCTGTTATATTTAACAATATATGTTTGATAATGATCTGCTGCCCCAATACACTATATCTATATATCTATATATCTATATATATATATATATATATGTGTGTGTGTGTCTGATTACTTTAAACATTATATTTAGTGGTTACATTTGCTTGAGTAGACATCCCAGTTTTTTAAGTCTACTAGCCTGTGCATTAGAGAGTTTTAAAATATGCCTTCCAGCAGGGTTTGAACATACATTCCTCTTGTAGGGGAAACCACCATTAAGCTTGGAATATTTTTAGAATGCACAATCATAGAAGACTTCACAGTCAAGCAAAGTTCAACTAACCTATTTAAGAAATGTACATATATCTAAAATTACAAATCCCTGAAGGAAAATATTGATTCTCCTGTGGGTACAGTATGTGCATACTTGTGGCTAGAAGATATTCTTAAGAAAGTTTTCTATCTGGTGTTTTACCATGTAGTGATTTAGTAACATTCATACTGGTGCACCTTCTGTATCTGGATTTTAGATAGTGACACTGATGTTCAATATGGTCAAAAGGTTCATTGCTACAGACATACACAAGTTCACCTTTTGTTCAATGAGAGCCATGCACATATTAGCAACAGTGATCAAATTAACATAATAATATGAATACCGCATTCCAGACAGCATCATTGTACAGATTGATGCATTATAAAGGCAGCAATGCAGATTGTACAACATTTTCAGCACATGTTAGATCAAATATAACTCCATAGTGTTGGGTGCCATTAATTATAGTTCTCACCACTTTCCTTTGAAAAGAGAATGTTGAACAGTACCATGTACATCAGAAATACACATTAGGAGACAACAGAAAGTAATGTTTGTAGTTAGTATTACAGGCAATAAAATTACAAGTCTTTTCAAAGTTGATAATGGTTCAAGATAAATGCAGAGAATTGTTCTTATTGGACAAGACATTTAAGTGGTATAAGTCATAACCAAAAAGCTTTAGGCTAAAGACTTTATTCATGAAAGACAATGATATTTCACATTCTGCAAAGCCAAAAAAGGTTTTAAAGACAGTAAATTAACAGAAGGACTAAGCCTCTTCAGAAATTAATCCAATAGAAAACTTGTGATCCATCATTAAAAGAGATGTATATGAGAGTGGAAAACAATATTTATGCATGGATCACTAGGAAGCAACAAAAACTTCTGTGACACTATTTACCTATGGTAATTGTCTAACTAACTAATCATAGAAATTAAAACAGAAAATAGGCATTCTTAAAGTGGAAAAAGAAAAAGCCATCATGAAAGATAGACTGATCGACGTTAAAAGAAAGATTTTATTTTATTTACAAAAAAGCCTGCGGAGAGAGCTGTGTGTGAGGTCCTGTCGAGATGGCAAACTTTGACAGTGATTAATGAGACGGTAAGAGTGCTGGCTAAGTGACTTTTGGGTGGCCCAGGAAAAAGAGAACATATGATAAAAATTTAATTAGCAATGTGGATTTTGTAAAAATTTTGGCTGATGGGAAAGGAGAATTTTGTAAACAAAAATTCTAGATTATAATTTTAAGGAGGCCTGCATAGCCACATCCACACTGCCAAGAAATCATTGGTCGTATGGTAGCATGGTGATAGGCGGAGGTGAATGGATGAGAAAGGCGGAGAAGTTGTTAATGCCCACTGAAGGGATTGGTATGAGATATCAATGTGAGAGAGAAAGAGTTTAGGAGGATAGCTCTCCTCCGACCTTCTGTCACAAATGATGGAGACCCCCCTGAAATGGGAAGTGGTTAAATTTCCAAAAATGGGAAATAATTAATTTTCCTGGCCTGACAACAAAGAGATTTCTTGTTAGAAAATGAGATTTACCAAGAACCCCAGGCCACGTCTGGCCACCCACCGGGTTTTGGTCAGTACCCATATAAACGAACGTCTCCAGGCAGTTGGAAAAATTTGCAGTTCAGCTTCAGACAGAGTCAGAGACAGTTCAAGTAGCGGGAACCAGAGTGTTGCCTCGCAGAAGCTGACCAAGAGATTCCACAATCTCCGACTTCACCGACTCTACCAATAGCAAGTTATACTGATGAACGAAGTTAAGCCAGCACTTAAAAACTAAATTATTTGACTTACAATATCAATTTTCTTGAAACATAGAAGTGTCACATTTCATAGGAAACGGGGTGGGAGAAAACCATGCTCCTGTATATAACAGAAGGATAAAGTTAAACTGTTATTTCCTAACATACTTGAACCTCTTGGGTTTTTCTTCTATTTATTTTTTTTCTTTGCGCCTGTGTGGTGCCACCTTCAATCTGGACTCAGCTTGCTCTACGGCCAGACGCCTGAGTGATCTCGTCTACCTAAGATCAAAGTCACAATGTGGGTAGGTTAGACTTGAGATCAAAACAGTTACTCCAGTAACTAGACGTTACAAGTGAGCTGGGAACGATAGAGCTGTCATTGAAGCGGTACAGCTGGTGAAGCTGTTAACATCAACAACCAGAATTCGACCCTGGTGCCACATGTTGGTGCCTTGACCACTGAATTCGACCCTGGATGGCTGAGTGTCACATATTGGTATCCTGACCAGGGCACAGGCTGGTGGCAGCGACAAAGAGTCAACCCAAAAATGCCAGTAGAAGAAACCTTACAGCTTTGTGTCGTGACTGGGAGTTGACCACGGGCTGACGGCTTAGCGTCACACTTCTGTAAATAATTTTAAAGTTAGAACAGTGGAAAAGTTTCCAAAATCAATGAATGAAAGACTAATGAAGGTTAAAAAATGTCAAGGATCCTATATTAACATATAAAATAATTTATCAAGGTTTATGGGATATTCTGCTAATCAAATGTTTTGTAGCTAACATCATTTGGATTTATAAATAAACATTTATATTATACTGAGCTGACAACCCAGAAGAAGTTATGTGAAATATTCTTAATATAAATATATCCTGAATATTTTACGAGCATCACTTGGTTAATACTGATTTTATTGTGAAAATATTGACTAGCAAAATTAAATCTAACAATGGAAACATAAATATTTGTGTCGTGTTATACTATTCTGTTGTACTTACTGTTTAATATATGATATAACTGCAACACTTGTTTTGTTATTTCTTTAACCATTTACTTGGTCACAACAGATATATAATAATCATAATGCAATATATAATCATAATATATATAATAAATAAAAGAATAATTGTGAATTATATTAAATTATTATATTACTTTTAACCAATATTTATGTTTTTTTCAGCTAAGCTTAAAATCTGTTAACTTTTTTGAGCTTTGAATAAACATGTCATCTCAAAACACCTTTCTATTATGGAAAAGAGTATAAGAATTAGAATGAAATAATGCTCTTATAATAATGACAATAGGAATATAAGATTAAAAGTCTAATCTTGTAGACTGATTTAAAGATAATGCGAAAAATATGGAAATATTAATATAAGCTAGATTTTTTGTTTGCTAATCAAATATTATGTACAATTATTACTTTTATCCTCTATGAATTTATTAATTTAGGTTTACTTTGTTTTTTCCTTTAATGTGTTTGCTGAACAGAAAAAAATGTTTTTAATGTGATTAAAAACAAAAGAAATATAAAAGTAGGTGTCTGATAAAAATAATCTGTCTTTAAATATTCTTTGTATTTCTCCAGAATGCCTGATTCCATAAAATCTTTACATACCTTCTAGTGGAAATTTATTTGAAATTTCTGTCTGTTTTGGTTTATCTCCTTTACGTCGTCTTACAGACATTCGTTCTCTCATGGTTTTTGATATTTGCATGAAGTCCTTTTGAGAAACAAAAAGAAAACATACATAAAAGAAACTTATCTGAGGGATGCTTCAAAAATACAGTACAAGCATTTACTAGACCAACATATTTATTACTATATAAATAAAATGCTGTAATTTTTTAAAGAAATTTTTATCTGACATTATTTCTTAGTACTATAAAATGTTACTTTTAGTGGGTACACAAGTTTGAGTTACTATCCCTGCTTTTTTTTTATTTTCTTAAATAGTGATATTAATAACAATAAGCCTAAATTGGGAAATCCTACTAAAGAAAAATTGTGCCTCTGACAAGAATTGAACTTATATCTTATATTTTTCATAAGAGAAACCACTTTTTAATCAAAACATCTAGCTATTAGTTTGGCTATGGATTGGTTGATTGATTTTGTTTAGCCACATATTAACCACTATGAGTTATTTAATACCAAAATCTAAATATTTTGAACACATATCTATGGATTCAACTAAATATATTTTGAATGAAATTGTATGCCTTCAACTACAGATAAAATGTATTGTTAATCATTTTACTATATGTATTGTTGATCATTTTTATATAAAAATGTATTTTTACTATTAAAATGCATTTTTATACTTTCACAGTGTTTTTGTTTGGGTGTTTATCATTTGCTCATAGCTGGGACCCTAACAAGTGCTACCACCCTGGGTCAGAGTGGACCTAGGAACAATAGCAGTTAAGGAGGTGGTTCCTGGCTCCTGTTGCCAGATGTAGTTTATCATCATTCCCAAGACTTGTTTGGCTATGAAGACCAACCCACTAAAAATATTGTTTATAGTAATAAGAAATAATATCGTATAAAAAATCCTTTAAAAAATTACTATTTACATTTTGGATATGAAACTGAAGGTAGCAATTATAGATTCATAGAGGCACCAACAAGAAATGTGCTTTCCCTAAATAGGTAATTCAAATTTTGCTCTGTCAGGTTGGCATCTGTGGCAAAACTGGTAGCAGCACACTTTGGCTAAAAAACTTATTTCCCTGATGGAAAAAAGAGATGCAAGTTTGATTCCTGCCGGAGAGCACAATTTTTCTTTAGGACTTCTCAATCTAGGCTGGTTGTTTTTAACCACACTGTTTACAAAAATTAAAAACATGGATAGCAACTCAAACATGTGCACCCACTAAAAATGACATTTATAGTAATAAAAGATAAAATAGTGTGCATGTTATTAGCATTATTATGCTACATTATCATATAGATGTATGCCATTGAGACTGAAGCTCTTGTTTCATTGGTGGATGATTGTATAAGACTTACTTTTACTTGTTTCTTTTCTTGAAAAAGAATATGGAATCATGTGACTGGAACTACTCTTGCACATTTGCATTACAGTTGTCATCTGTGTGGAACTAATACCCAGACAAATGTCTGAGGTATTCAAGCAGATGATATTCTAGAAAAGCTAAATCATGACAATGTATTGGATGCAGTAAAAGGTCTCAACCATATCACTGGAACCATACTTTTGTCATGATGGCCCTGCATGTGAGGTAATAGTCATACAGCAGTATGATGACAACTGTATAAAATGTCCTGTTTTTTTTTTTTTTTACTGAATGGTTACTCTCAGTCTATCCTGGGTTTCACAGTATCAAACTGACATCTGAATATTGTGTTTTTTTTCTTTTCGATATGGTGATGAGGGATACTTTCAGATCATGGAACAACATCTCTCTCTTCTGGATAATATAATGCACTTAGATTTCATCAGCTGTGATCATGTCCTACAGAAAGACTTCATTAGATCTCTTATATCATTCCAGTTGCTGAAAAGAAATCCGTATACATTGGAAGTTATGTTCTGGATCCAATTAGATGACATTTTCCTATATTCTAACTTTTTGTGTATAATTTCATGGATCACTGACTTCTAAAGATCAAGTTTTATATTATGCATTGTCTATAATCCTGATTCAAATCATCAATGCACACATTGTGTTCTATTTTTGATGAACATGGATTCCCAACATGAGGTTTATCCTGCAGATTTGTACACTTCTCTCTAAACACACTACACTAGACAGATATCCAGTTCCTAACCATTAACATGTTCATCATACAAATTCACAGTGAATTTATGTTGTGACATTACATATTCCAGCATTCAGTATTAAAGCAGTTTTGGTTTTTATATGAAATATTGCATATCTATTGTTGTTTTGTTTTTACAGTTTTCACTACGTTTTCATTCTACTCGTATTTACCTGTATCTTATTTTTCCGATATCCTTTCATATCATAGAATCACCTCTCATTATTATCTCTGTCTCTCTCTGTTCCAAATTCTTTCATAATATTCTATGATTCTACCATTGTATGTTGTGTTTATATAGAATATGATACCAAATATTTCCAAAGCTGAAAAAAAAATCATCAGAGAGGCCTTATAGTATCATGTGTATATAGTATACAAGGTGTGATGTTGCCATTTTATATTTTTCATTTCACACGTGTGTGTTGCTTGTTTTTGATTTTGTTGATTGGACAGTATAGTAGGGTCAGTTGGGCACCATCTGTAAGAAAAAGAGCACCATGATGCAATTAACTCTACCAGAAATTTAGAAATTGCATGCTGTACTGCTTGGCATTTGCACCAGAAGCTCCAATATGAACATTTCAGAGTGTTTGGGTGCCAATCTAAAGACAGTGAGAGGATTTGAAAAAGAGTTGGGTGAGTCTAATGGTGATTACAAAGGTACAGCAGCTTGGTAAACTTACTCTGATTGCTCTCATAAAAAAGAACACCTAAATTTGTTGTTGAGGACCTCAGACTCAACACAGAGGCCTATATCAAGTGACTTGAGAAGGTAGTGTTACCCTTGATTAAGAGGGTGGCTGCTGGAAGACACAATGTCTGGCAACAGGACTCTGCACCATGCCACACAAGCATGGGAACCAAGTCATGGTTGTCAGACAATTTCTGAGACCACATCATTCCTTACATCTGGTCACCACTTAACTCCACAGACTGCAAACTCCTTGATTATTATGTATGAGTGCAATTGAGTGAAAGATCATAGCAAAGCTCAATTAACCTTATTAAGGAAAGCACATGTCTCATTAAGATCATTCAAAGCTCATATCTGCTAACTTTATTTTCCTATCTGAAATGTAAACAAACATGTCTAGACAAAAATGTGTATCCATTAAATATAACAAATATAGTAATTGAAATAAATTTAAAATGCTAAATATAAATCCATTAATTCCTATATATATAAAGAGTCCTAAAGAGCTTAGTAAAAAAGCTGAAAAGAATCAAAATCATCCAGATGATAACCTTACTAAAATCAACTAAAACATTTAAAATATACTGATGTCGCTATATTGAACAAATTTACTGTCACTTGATTAGTATTTGCTATTGGTGTTCAAACTCTATTAATAATAATAATAATAATAGTAATAATAATAATATTAATAAACATTTGAAGTATTTGAATAACCACACATTTATAACTATGTTTGATTACTGTCAATATTAACAGACACTGGGTATGATAGTCCTAATTTCTTATAGTAAAAACATTAAAAAGATAGCAAAAGTGAATGAAACTGTGTAAACCTTTCTCATGATAATAAAATGGAGAGAGAACTTACATCATCTATAGTACTGGCATCTAGATTATTTTCTGATAAACTTTGCTTGTCCTTAAAGCAATTAGAGATGCCCAAACCGTGAACTCCATCAGACATGCCTACAATATCAGATTTTATGTTGAAGCATTCTGTTGGGCTGGAACTATTTTGGTTGTTTGAATTAGTATCTGCTGGGTTTAAACCTAAAAAAAAAGAATGAATATAAATATTTCTCCAGAGTTAAACAACAATTAAGAAAGTTACTGACAAACACAATTTTTGACATAAAATGTTATACAAATTAAAAGTAACAAATGACACAGAGCTCATATAAGTCTAAAAAACTGTTTAAAGTCTATATTAGTGAAACTCATAAACATTACATATCAGCAAATAAACTAAAAAATAATACTTTATAATTACAGTTTCTAATTTATTTCTGGGATGACATCAGTAAACTGATTTGTATTTCAATTTTTATTATTTGAAATATAATTTGATACATGAATCTGTAAAGAATTTCATGAATTGCAAGTAAAGATAGGTGAAAATAACTGAATAAAGAAAACTATTCTAGTCAAAAAGTATACAATATATTTTTTTAGTATTTGATTAACAAGACTACAAAATAACCCATGCTTACTTTGATTATAGCATTAATATGGTAAGCCAATATTCACTTTTAAAATTTTGTGCTTAATATTTCAGACACAACTAGACAGACACATATTTAGGATTCTAAGATGTTATTAGGCATAATATGATGATGATGATAATTAACCCCTGTCAGGGTTAACAACAGGTGTAACAGCTTTTTACTACCATTGCCATCTAAATAGTAACATAGTTATGGGAGATTGGTTAGCTCAAATATTCATCTACCCACTTATTTCTCTAGCAACTGTGGCAAAGTGGAGACAAGACATGTTTGGCAATGAAACAGAAAGGATGGACACAGATTCATATTTTCCCCAAGGGTAGTAATACTAAGTAAAAAAAGCAGTAGTAACCAAATTTTAAATATGCTGATTTTGTTTTATGTCCTGATAACTGTTATACAAAACTGCACTTTTAATAATAAAAATATTCTTATTCTTCTTCTTATTATTATTATTATTATTTCCTTTGATTTATGTTGTATACACATTTCCTTCTGGTTCCCAACCAGAGACCTAAGGTTAGAAATATCTTCATGGTGAATTAAGACAAGCTACAGTAAATATATCATATTTGCTTGTCAGTTGGCTGACCATAACCATGACACAGTGTGCATCTCTGTTCATAAGTGGGAGTAATAATGGGGTATCATGGCCAGATACTGAGAGGGTTGTTTTTCTACAGTTTGAAGAATGAGTTAGCCAAGGTAACTTGAGAGTCATTGTAGATACTTGTGAACACTTACAATTACAGACTGCCTGAGAAGATTGGATTACCTGACCATAAGGTATTTCTAACTGGGTAGGTACATGAAGATGTCCAGTCTCCTGAACCCCAAGTGATCAATGTAGGTATCCACCAAAGATGCCTTGGTTTACCCACATTCTGATTTATATTAAAGAAACATCCTCATATCATTAGTAGATATCGATGTAAATAACAACCTGGTTTATAGGTACACCTCCAAAAATCTAGATGACCAGAGACTGCAGCTCATCTCTTCTCTGATCTAGCTTTAACAGCTCAATGGAGAAAAAAAATAGCTTGTAACATTCAATAGCACCAACACCAAGTTAATAACATTCTATTGTCACCAAGCAGTCATTGAAGAACAATTGTACTTAATGAAGATCCTTGCCTTGAATGTCTATTGGGTTTGAGTTCTCTCCCTGCTATCAAGTGGAACATATGAACATATATATATATATATATATATATATATATATATATATATATATATATATATATATATGCCATGATCTATCTTTACAAAAGTCAGATCATAACAAAAATTGGTACATTGTTGCCATATCTGGCCTGTAGCTGCCTAATACTCACTTTCCAGCCTTGACAGAGTCCAGGAGAATTTATACAGGCTTATGGGGGATTAATTATTTTTAACCCTTTAGCCCCTTTTCCATAGACAAAATGTTGCAAAACTATTGCTACTCTATTGTTATTTCCATATCAAATATTCAGATGAGATACATTTCTTAGTTCCATCTGTTCAGACCTTTTATAACTAAGACTGATCAAACCACATTCACAGGGTCAACTCATCTTCATTCCTTTTGTATTTCATTGGTAAGATGGAAGTTCCACTCAGATAATTTCTTCTCAAGAACCACTAGTTTGTGGAACGGATTCTTGAGAGGATGCTTCTCTGATCACTACAGTCTTAACCTTTTCAAGTTTTGAGTCAACAGTTATCTATCCTACATATCTTCATAATCTATACTTATGTTCATACAACAATCTCACTCAGTAACTTTCTACCTTGAGCAGCTCTCAGGCATTGTAGTTGGTGAACATTTAGTGAAAAATGAAAAGCCTGCAAGGTTATACACTGCTTTGTTATCAAAATATGTCACTACAGTCCTCCTATTTGGTTTTGCTGCATGTGCCTGGTATACACTTATCCGACTGAATGTTGTGATGGGTAAATTGTGATTTGTATAGTCGTACACTAGTGTCACTTTATTGGTATACTGCTCTCTTACCCAATAATAATAATAATAATAATAATAAATATTATTATTATTATTAATATTATTATCATTATTGTAGTTGCTTTTCTATTTACATTTATGTGAAGCTGATTTAATAAAATGAATTTATAAAATGCACTTTCTTCAGCTGTCCCAATTTTGCAGCCAAGTGATAAATAGGAAGTATAAAAATATTTCATTTTTTTAAAAATTGTCATGAAACTGTTTTAAAAGCAAATAATAATAATAATAATAAAGATTCTGAAACCATGTTAGATTTTATCAAGGTATGACTATATTTAATAGATAATTAAAACTTGTCAATAACATAAATTTATTAATAATTTATATTTAATGGTGAAAAATATGAAAGGTTAGGAACCTTTTCCTATGACACCAATCATGTCCTGGCCTGGTGTAATATCTCCTGATCTTGCCTCTACACTCCCATGGCCATATAAAGATGCTGTGCCTAAGGGTGTCCCAGCTGAAATATCTGAAAAGTAAATAATATGTAAATTTTAAAAAAATTGTAATTTGTCATGTAAGTAGATAATTTCTAGCTAAAAGATATTAAAAATACTTTATTTTTTTATTCTTTGTATAATATAGATTATATATTATGAGATGTTTAAAGTTTAATCAATCCAAAGCTACCTTCCATCTCAGTTTTCTTGAATTAAAAATTATTATAAAAATTAAAAAAAGTATTTTTTTTAATTTATGTATAATACCGTATTAATGAAATTGCAAATAAACCATTGGACAACGTTATCTGTGAGATCACATGTAATATCAAGTCAAGAAACACTACACTATCCTGGAAAAATATTTTCCTTATCCTCAATCACTTTGTAGTCTACAGATTAATCAATTAAAGAAGAAGAAGAAGAAGAAGAAGAAGAATTATAGTGTGGTAACTAATATTGGTAATTCAATAATTATATGGAATATTATAAATACAGACCTATTGCAGCAAAATGATCAGATATAGTTTATGATATGAAGGCTTAGATACAACTTCTTAATGGTATTATAATCTGAGAAGGTGCAAATTTCTTTTAAAAAATGCAGAGAATATAATGAATAATTGGAAACCAAACATTTGGCAGATATAGATTTAATGATCGCTCTGAACTTCCTGATGCAAACTGTCAACTTATAGGCATCTGATTGCTTTGTCATTATATTAGTAGTAAAAACAAAAGCAGAAGAATAACAATGTAAAAAATGTTTTGGACATTTTTGTATTCACTAACAAAATGAAAAACAATAATTTCCACTAATTTAATATAATTCTGTAAGTTTATAAATGCAATTTTATCAAAAAATAAAATTGTAGCATGAAACATGTTACATAATATTTATTTAATTGTTTATATTAGTAATTTATAACAAAATATATTTTAAAAATATTAGACTATTATTCTCTTGAGAATATTAAAATAACTGTCAAGTGTAAACAAAAGCTTTGCTTAAATTATATAGTTGAATAGAAAATAGTAAATTTGATTGCTAATTTACTGTTATGATTTGACATACCATATTTATTACTAACTTGAATAGTATCTGTCAGGTGTGATTAATGAATAAGTAAAAAGAAGACATATTACTTTAAAGAAGCAAAAAGTAGGAATAAAAAAATTACAAATTTTTATATAACACTAATGTGAAAATTGAAATAGTGTTAACTGATTTATTAGTACCTCTAAAATTTAAATAGTGTTAACAGATTTATTAGTAACTCTAAAAAGTGGAAGAACACGAGCTTTAAAAGTAGGAGGAAAATTACCTTTGCTATTTCTTTTTTGATGTTTTATTTTGGTAATTGCTGGTTTTCCATCCACAGGTGTTTCTTCCAAGTAGCCCTTTCCAAAGACACACACATCTGTTGTTTGGCTTTGAGAAATTCCGGTAGAAGAATATTCTGTCCACTGATTTACTTTTTTTGTGTCATACATTAAATCTGGTGGGCGCTTGGTTCGCAGAGAATTGCTTCTTACTAAATTTGGTTTTGTACCAAATGGTGACTCAGCTGGTCTGTGTAAGTTTGAAAAGAATAGCCTTTACTTGTGAATACAATGCAAATAAAAGTAACTAACCGTGACAATAAAATTTTCAATGTTAGAATAATAGAAGATTTTAACAAAGAAATCAATAACAACATGAGAACAATCTAAATACTCACCTATAAATGCATGCACCAAAAGATGTAAAAAAAAACTTATGAAAAATATTTTATATAGAAATTTAACTAGAGAAAATTTAAGATCCACTTGGATACTGAATTATGCATAAAAATGAGCTGATCATTAAGTGGAAAACTTAACTAATTTCTCAAATAAAAAAAAAATGAATAAGAAATCTCATTTTACATTTATGTGCAGACGTTTATGAAAAAACAAACAAGCAAAAAGTCCCTTATATTTTACCGAACATTCCAAACTTCAATGATTCTCTCTCAATCTTATTTTAAACTTGTTTCAGAAATGCAGAAAATAAATGTTTTTTTTTATTTCTTAAACTAGTGTGGTATTGCAGTGATATATTAATAAATATAGAGTTAATTCCCTTGTAACTATTTATAGAGATCAATCACATTTCAATAAAGTATAGTGCCTGTGGCTACTAGCAGTAGGAGTTAGTCATACCATGAGTTGCTACAGTTAAGTTCACAGTACATTTTGTTTCATTATTCACTTTTACTCACAGTTGTTAAGCATGGCACAACATTAACATGATACATAATAACAAATGACAAAATCATTAGAACTTTTATATGAGTTCAGTATTCAAGATCTGGAATATAAGATAAATATTAGGTTTAGATTGGAACTGAAATTAATATTCTTCATAGAGATAATTTATATTGCATGCTTTTAAATCTTTCATGATAAATTATTATTGCATAATTGCCTTACTCCAGACAGTTTACAAGCAGAATGCTAAAAAAATAAAAGGGGAAAATGAATGGCAGTAATGAGTCTATACAAATTCTACAGCTCGACTAAACTGCCATGTTATAAACTGTGGCTAAGAGGAAAAATTAATTTTCGTTTTTAGTTAATTTTTATACTTACATCTTAGTAGGAAATACTTCTTTCTTCTTCATTTCTTCTTCTTTATCATGAAAAGTTGATATGGAGTAATGTCCACTGTCACTAGAGAGAACTGAGTGTGCACTGGAACGTAAAGAATCTCCTATAAAATTGCTTTTCTCAAGTTTCTCTGCTCTTCTTTTAGAGGCACTGTCTCTGATATTCTTTAATGAACTAAACATCTGGGGAAAATCATAAGAAAAAAACAAAAGTTGTTTTTAATAAAAAAATAATCAATAAAAAAAAACAATAAATTATCTCTTAATGCTTAAAATATTTTAAAGCTTGAAAATATAAAAGCAAAACTAATATATTGATATTGGAAAGCTTTAATTCCCATTAACAATATTTTTAACATGAGAAAAAAATCACAAAAAGCTTAAACATATATTTGAAACTGAAAATTGTCAGTCATTGAAACATAGCATATACTAAAAAACAAGAAGCATTTTAAACCAGTGTGTTAATGTTAATAAAAGTATTTCACTGATTTTCAAAATGTCTATTAAACATATTATTCAATCTGTAATTGTTACCCATCACATACAATTTTCTCTTGGAATTATTATTCAAGTAATATGAGTTATTAACCAGTAGGAATGTAGCTGATAATACTCAGCAATAAAAAGGAGTCATAGAAATAAAAAAAAAGAAAGGAGAAAACAAAAAAAAAATTGAAAAGGACAAATGATCATGACATTCTACATGTACACACATCTGTGCAGACAGGCACACATGTGTGAATGCACATTTGCAGAGACAGATGCATTGCTGCACAAGCACAAATGCACACATGAACACAAAAAATACAGAAAAAACTTTACACCAATGTTAAATGTATATAAAAAGGAAAAAAATAGAAAAAATATAAGCAGTAAATTGCTGATACCCACTGAAAAGTGGACAAGCAGGTCTGGCTACAAAACTCTGGAGTCGAAATGCTGAAGGTAATATCAATCAGCTATGTGACAAACCTTTTAAAGTTTATTTTCAGATTAATTTTTTTCTTATAGAGAAAGGTTTTATTTTACTCATAAAAGTGTACCATTTAATATTTTATCTTTTAAATAAATATTCATGTACTTAGAAAAACACTTAATATAGACAAGATAGTTGTTTACTTGTTAAATGAGCATGGCCATCACTGACTTTTTAACATAATTTGTTATTGCCAGTCATGGAACCTGCAAAAGACATACTTTTCTACAGGCATAGTTTCTTTGTGGCCTTTGTCAGGAACAGGGGCCCAGTACACCACTAGGTTGTTTAATACATACATACATATATATATATATATATATATATATATATATATATATATATATATATATATATGTATGTGTATATGTAAGGGGTGTGTGTGTATATATATATATATATATATATATATATATATATATGTATGTGTGTATATGTAAGGGTGTGTGTATATATGTGTATGTGTATATATATATATATATATATGTATATGTGTATATATGTATGTATGTATGTGTGTATGGATGTGTATGTGTGCATACACACATATGCATGCATATGTATGTGTGTGTGTATGTATATATATGTGTATGTATGCATATATATATATGTATATGTGTATATATGGGTATGTGCATGTGTGTATATGTATGTGAAAAGTGTGTGTATATAGATATAGATGAATATGTGTATGTGTGGATATGTGAATATATTTTTATATTTTTATATGTGTGTACATGGGTATATGTATGTGTGTACACGCCTATGTGTATGTATATACATGTATATGTTATTGTGTGTATTCGCATGTGTTTTTGAACATAGAAATATAGGTCCTTGCTGGATTAGATAATCGTTATATTTATCTTCATATATTTATATTTGATTTGTAACCTGTAGTCGATATTAAATTTGTCAAATTTTCTCAATTACAAAACGGCCTTTTAAGTAAACGCAATTTTACTTTCCTTCGTCCCATCTCTCTCCCCCACCTTTGTCTTTCCCTCCCTCTTATACTAACATTAGATTGTCTATGGTGTGTGTATGTCACCACGAAATGTATCTTTATGCATTAGACATCCGTCAACATTCATTTTTTTCTCTTAATTAAACCCCTTTCACCCATCTCTCCTAAAATTCTCTCTGTTAAGGTTTAATCTCCCTCCTCATACTTACACTCTCTCTAAATTCTGTTTTTATTTCCGGAGTGGGTTTTTTTCTGTTTTCTTTTTGAATTTTAGGTCTGATGAATTGGATCGTATTTACGATTCCAATGGAATAAATTATGACCATGGAATATTAGTGTTTAAGCCTTTTTATTATATCCTTACTCTGTCCTAGACATTGAGTTCTACCTGGATTCTTCCTCTTGGAATTTTTTTTCTAAAAATATACATGTATGGGTATTTATATATTTTGTATATGTATGTATATTTTCCACTAATATTATATATATATATATATATATATATATATATATATATATGTGCACATATGCACAACTCCTGGCCAAAATTATGTAATTAGCATTATGTTTACGTAGGGATTTTTTGTTTTTACTTCACAGCAAAAAAACAAGCAAATCCCAGATATGATGTAAAACAATTTATGCTTAATATCTGAACATTCTGATTTCATGAAATTTATGTCAAAGAAATTTGAAAACAACAAAGATGACCTGAATATAAATAATGTAATTACTGATAATCCACATCTCAGAAATTCTGACAGTAATGCACTTAAATCATTCAAATTAATGGTATATTTTTCCAGATCAAATAGAGGAAAAAATCACAATAGCATATTGTTACTCTTTCTTGGGCTTTAATTATCAGGTTTACATTCCATTGCACAATCAGTTCAAGAAATCAATATTCTCTGTCACACTGGTTTTGACCGTTTCAGATGATTGGTTGAAAGATCAATGTGAGAAGTCTAGTCATAAATTTTCTTTTAATTTTCAATTAGATTGAACTCTAAAATTTTTGTTAGCCATATCTTTCTTGAAACAAAGCTTTAACACTTTTTGCTATGAGGCAAAGCATGAATTATCATTCTGGAAAATGACTTTATAATCATCAAACCCATTTACTATCAACTGTTAAAATAATGATAATTCCAGCATTATTGCCTTGATCAATATGAATTTGTGATTCTTCACTTTCATCTACTTATTTACACTCCATAATTGCTTTTCTCTGTAGACTCCTGTGATCTTGTTTTCTTCTGTTCAGTTGTTAGTACTGATTTTCAGGTTTTCATTGGGATTTTCTTTAGGTAAATCTCATTTAATTCAGTCAAACATTAACTCTTATTTCCACTCATTTGTTTTGTTGTACACTAAATTTTAAAAACAGCTACTGGAAACAACCAATACCTTTTGCTACACTCCATGTTGGATTTCTTTTTTGAAAAGGTTTTACAGTCATTTCTAATGTTTCAATTGACAGCTCTCTTGTTGGAGCCACGTTAGTATTTACTTGTCTCCCCACAGTGACAGTATGTAACACAAAATTGGTTTACTATGAGATGCTCATATATTTACATACAGGTCAATCTATGTGATCACTCAAACTGGCATTAATATTTATCAATCTTCTATTTTTAGTGCAATGAGGGGGTTGCTATTGCAGAATTTAATTCTCCAGGACCAGGCTCTCTTCATAGATTAGGGAGGAGAATGCATACTACACTGATCCTAACCCAAAGGCTAAGTAAAGTTGGAGCTATTTTGGAATTTACCATCCCACCTCCCTACAGTGATAGCATGTGACACAAGGTTATTTTAAAGTGGGATGCTGTATATAAAAGCCAAAGATAAAAACTGTTCAGTCCTTGCAACCAGTGTCATGTTAGCATAAGTATATCTACCAATCCTCTCTCTT